TCTCTGCACACATGTTAAAGTCATCACCCCTGCTCAGCGCTAGTAAAACACAACACCCCCGGCTTCTCTGCTGTTGTCAAGTCTTGCCATTAGCTGATGCCACTGGGGAATCCTACCCCAGTGAGGTGGGCCTCCCTCGGGAACATCAGGCACCACGTTACATTCAGCCGCCACTCATGTGAACCCAAACATGTGAGCATAATTTGGAAAATATCATTTATACTCTGCGTCTTTGTACGTGTCTTGACATTTACAAACTGCGATAAAAACCGACATGAGGGAGGAGGGAATAGAAAACAGGGCGAGAATAATTTGAGGTAATGTTTTGCTTGGTGAACAGTATTACCCAATCCTGGATGGTGGAAGCACTGGGAAGGAGGTTCTGGCTCTGAGGCTGCGGAGAGGTCTGGGTTTCATTTTTCGGCAAGTGCAAGCCAAAAGAGAGCTGCCAAGTACTGTACAGCTTTTTGCTCTCAACACTTCCTGCTCTTCCTACTTTGGCTCAGAAGGAGACAGGCTTCACTCAAACAGCACATCGACCTGAGCGGGGGGTGGGGGTGGGGGGGCAGTTTATTCCCCCCATTTCTCAATGGGCGTTAAAAACTCACATCTGTCTCATGGCTTACACCGAACACGTCCATAAATAAAACATCATGTTGGATATTTATTAAGCCAAATGTAATTAGGTGTTTGCAGGTGTTTGCATGCACGCATGCATAAATATAATAGGAGGGCACTTCCTGTGCACTTTAACAACTTTAACTTACTGTAAAGCATAAAAAACACTCCAGTGCAAGTCTTACCCTCAATTGTATAATGCAGAAAAAAATCTAATAGATCCCAAAAGCAGTGAGCCAATCAACTGTATCATTTTTAGTAAGAGCAGTTGGAACACTAAGGGCCATCTTAATTGCCCCTCTGCAGAGGGGCAAACATGTCATTTTGCTACCTTATAAACAGACTTCCTTTTGCAGGTTATCGAGGCAGCTGCTCAGTGAAACACCCCCCCCCCCACCCTTTTTTTTCCCCCAATGCTGATGTGCAATTAAAATGGTTTTAGAAATCCTCTTTGACAGTCCAGGGCTTAGCCAAAAATGTAAATGACATTAAAGGAGACAATGAATTTAATTTTGTTTAATGTCCCCTTTCGCTGATTCTCATTTACATCACATTTCCACATAAAGGGCTGACCTTATAAATACTGGCATTTGTTCAGCTTTTGGAGGTAATCACGCTTTTGCAAAAACCAGATGGGAGCGCGCAAATTCTCCGATTTGTTTCTTAGAAGGCCGGGGGAAGCCACACGTGAGACGTTCTAAGGCTGCCGTCTTTTGTTCCTGGTAAACAACTTGACAACAAGTCAAGTGCACTCTGGGAAATGACCTCGTAGGTGTTCCGCAAATGAACGATAACGCAAAGTCATTTAGAAAATACAGGCTCGCTAATGAGGGACATAACAGAAAGCTAAGCAAAATTTACATTAGGCCAAAATTTAATTGCATTAACACACAAAACAGGTGCAGCGAGGCCTTTATAAATGAGCTAAATGAATAAAAGCCTCCCACTGCACAGCCATGTGTGCTGACCAAAAAAAAGAGAGACAAGGGGGAAAAGTAAGGGGGGAAAACAAGTCAATGTCATGAATTATTCAGTGGCTGGGCTGCACTCCAAAGGTCAGCGTTCTTTGACCTTTGTGACAGGAAGTGAAAGGGAGTGCCACAGGAAAAAATGGAGCTGACATGTTTAGCTCTCATCCACAAACTATTTGTGAATGGCAACGTAAACTGAGACCGGATATTTAACTCTGAACGCACATTAAAACCAGAAATCACATGGGTAAAGCACACGCAGATCCCACATTCTGTCTGTCTGTCTCAATTCTACTCGCGTAAATTGCCCAATCTTCCCAGAAGAAAACGTGACCTCTGAACCCCGGCAGGCAGAATGAGTCATTTTTTCTCGTATTTCAACAACATGTGCCGTCTTATTACAAAATCCATGCGTAAGCCTGGCCAATGTATCTACTCGTTCACACAAGAAAAGACAAAGTCAATATGCAGAAGAGTGAGGACAGATTCCAGACCAGAAAAGTCATCGTAAATTAAGTTATGTTCAGATGTACACTGCGTGCACTGTAAATGGGAGAACTGTCTAATCAGATATTGGGTACCTCATTACAATAAATCTAAAGACTTAAATTACTGACTAAATAAACCTACACCCACAGTTACTTTAAAGCGCCATTAACTTATAAAAGTGACATCTGTAGCACCGCTGGATTTATGCAAACTGCAAAGTGATGCGGCCATAGCAACACCGCCACAATTAGTCTCCAGATGAATTTAATTTGCGCATCAGCTGGCTGCAATCTTTTCCTTTTTTTTTTTTTTTTTTTTTTTTTTTTAATATTTGACGCTGAGAGAAGGAAAGATTATTCTCACAGACAATATTGATTTTTCTGTAGAGCAAAATGTCTTCTCACTTTTTCTAAAGATTCCCAAACTTGACTATATATAAACGTCCCAGAACGCACTAAAAATAGGGCTTTTCTTCATCCAAAAATGAACATGAATAATGCATCGGCATCAAATGTAATCGCTAAAATATTTAAAGACCAAGTCGAGCCGAAACTTTGTGACAGCTGTTGGGCCTATATCTAACCAACTTTTTATTTTTTTATTATTTTTTTTTAAAGAGAATCCTTCCTCTTCAAAAATCTGACTGAAAGCCTGTATCAAAACTCAGAGAGAAAATAGGGTAAACAGATGTCTGGCTTGACCGCAGGAAAATAGGACACATTTAGAATGATAAGTTTCCCAAACTCCGTTGGATATGCCAGATCCATGGGAACGCCAGTTAATGTCTCGCTAGATGCCAGCTAGCTGTGTGTGCTTTCCCCCCTCTTACCATCTGGGAAAATGTTACAGAGAACAAGCGCCATCAATGATTCACTCCAAATCTGTTTCTTAAGGTTCGGCCATGCTACTGTTTCTCTATGAAATGTGGCAGTGCTCGCTGGTTTTCATGCTGTAATTGTAGACAGATGAGACATGCTTGATTCAACAATCAAACCTCTCCTCTAGGTTTATGTCACTCAACTGTGTTCTACTCAATTGGAAATAATCAGTTTCTGCCAGCAGCGACCGCAGCACAGGTGCCTCTAATGATGTGCATGAGAAAATGACAGATGTAACAGAAATGGCTGTAAAACAAGGAGGCTTAAACTGAATGCTTAGCCATATGCACCGCAGGAAGAGTCAAGTAATTGCACTAAATAATGGTACAGTAAGGGAGCCTACAGTGTGCTCGGGTCACGTTCGTAACTCTCGCTAAACTTTGCAACCCTTCACAGGCACCCCTCTCTGCAGTCACTGGGAACCTGTGTGGGTCTGTTAGGGCGAGCTGACGGGCTCATAGTTACGACATGGAGACAATGGGAGGGTCTAATGAGGAACATATGCTTTTGTGTTTCAACAGAGCTGCTCATTGTGCAAGGAAAGGGATACTCTACTCCTATTCAGACTCGTCACAATGAAAATCCGAGCCCTCCCTGAGCCAGTTGAGCTTACAATATCCATCCGCTTCTTTTTACCCCAGTTCTTTTTTTTTTCCCACCCCTTTCCCCCCCCCTTGACTTTAATTCTACATGCATTCATTTTGTTCATTGTACTTAAGTTACACGCTTTGTCCCGCACATTAAAGAACAGTGGCGTGCAAAACTTTGAACCGCGACAAAACTAAACAAAACAATAAAACCAGGGTAACAGAGTCAACACAAAGCAAACATGAAAGCGGCGGAAATCCGGCTAAAAGTGGACGTCTCAAGTTATAAGTTTTAATCTGCGATCGCATCCCCGCCTTTAATAAAACCTCCTGACTCATAAGTTTAGAAATCTTATCCATGAAATGCAGCTATGCTCTCCTTGCGTTTCTCTGAGACTGCCATAAAGACCATGTATACCATTCAAGCACAGCAGCAGCATAAACAACATGCACAAGAAGTGCACACCATGTGTCTGTCTGGCTGGATTCGTGTCCTCGTCCGAGTGTGTATCATCTGCGTTTATCTGCATGTGTGTCTGTGTGAGTCTGAGTTCAGACAGCAGTAGCTCTGGTAATCCATCCAGGCTCCCAGGGCAGCCGGCTCCTACTTCCTGATGCATGAGAAGCCGCTGGAGTGGAGTGGCAGCAACAACTGCTCAGCCCTATTTGATTACTAATAAGAGAGTTGTCCCCTCTGTCAGATAGCAGGCATTCTCCGCTAAGCAAACAGTGATTCCGGCTAGTCAAACATTAGCATTGCTGTCTCTCCTGCTACGTGGTGAGAGTTGCATTGAGATTGACGCTCAGACTAGACCCCCTGCATCACCTCTCTACATCACACACATATATGCATGGTTAACCTAAAGCAATACACGCTGACCAGGACTTTTAGTTCTAACATCTAAAAAAAAGAGACATATCAGATATTGAGAGAAGTGCAATTATTCCTCCTTTTGCAGCCTCCCTGATATCAAATGTTTATCCTTTTTAATGCTAAGCTTTAATAGAGCTCACAGCTAAGATGAAAGAAAAGCGAAAAACAAGTATTGACGTGCAAGCATCACTGTCAAAAACAAAGGCGGGAGGCGAGCCAAATAAATGCAAACGTGCCCCAGCTAATTACAAGTATTCCCATCACGATCCTCTGGTGATTGAACCACCTGTGAGTGAACAAACCCTATCCAGGTGGTGACCACCCCCCCTCGGTGCACAGGTACCTGGGAAAGACGCCCCTCAGCAGCTCACACAGAATCACCCACAGTTCCCACACGGTGCGCTGCGAAAGTCAGCCCAACTGGTTACACCGGGAAGGAACCAATTTGTTCACGAGCTCATCCCATTTGTCTGCTCGAACACTCAGACGCTTGTCCGTTTAGCCGGCGTGACACTCAGTCATTCACTCACTCATTACCTGTTCACACACACACACACACTGAGGACGCTGCACACAGCCCTACCTGTCAATGATCACAGGGTCTGATGGAGTCTCGTTCCTGTTTCCACAGCTTTTCTTGTCACAGCATCGGCTGCAAAAACATAAAAACAAAGTTGTTTTTTTTAAGACAAGAAATAATAATTTGATGTAAAAGTGTTGTTACTGTGTGCAGCAGAGAAAAAAGGGGGAGATCTCCAGGAAATGTCCTTCACTTAATTTATCTAATTCTACAGATGCTGATAAAAAATGGTGCAAACAACATGTTGTGTTGTTTGGCTTAGTGCTGGGAGGGGAGTGGGGATTGGACCAGGAGGCAGGGGAGTCACTTTTCACAGCTTCAGCTTTTGTTTACCTCTAATTGCCAAGCTGCTATTTCTGAGGGAGATGCAAGGTGCCACCCTCAACCAATATTTCTGCGGGGCATTTATCAATTATGGCCTCAAAAACACTAATTTATCTTGCAGCACATGCTTTAGCCATCTCCTCCACACACTTATAGCTTCAGCTGCCTGCTTTTCATTTCTTTGATTATCAAAATAGCAAAAAAACTAATATATAATCTCAGCTTCCATTTAAACACTAAAACATATGTGAATAAGATTGATTTATGCCATATGGTGTGGAGGAAAAAGCAAAGATTTTGTGTAAAGCTGCTGTCAGTCAACCACTTTCTATCCTTTATTTACATATGGCAATATTAAAAATACTAATTATATTTAATTTATAGTGCTTTTACTTAAATATATAAATACATGGTTATTGCAATAGGCTTCAGTTCTGGTTTTATACACGAGCAAAATGCATTTCCTCTTGACCAGAAAAAAAAAAAAATTACCTCTACAGCACAACCATATTCAGCGTGTCACAAATAAGTGATGGATGCATGTATAAATTGAGCGTGAGTGATGAGTTTATGCATGAAAAAAGACAAATCATTCTCAGCTCTCATGCTGCTCATGCTCTAAGTTGAACAATGCACCGGTGCAACAAAGGGGAGGTTAACCGACAGTATCCAAATTCAGTGTTCACAAAGCTCATGCTGAGCTGAACAATAACAACAAAAGGAGTTTTTCCTTTTAGTATCAATGACACCGATGAATGGCGCTGCAACATGAGCGGTTGAGATTTTATGTGGTGAAATGACACTAAAAGGCTCGCTGATCAGTGTTGACAGGTGGGATCAACCGAGAAACGACTCTGTACTAAAAAGATTAGGAAAAAAAAGGATGCATAGCATGCAGCATTTATGCAGAGCGGAATATTATCTTTGACAGGTTTAAATACCGACATGCAGTTCTTAAAAATAAAATGAAATGCAGCAAACAATAAAGAAATCAGGACTTGTGTATTTTGTCACTGTTATATGTTCAATTTGCCTTCAATGAAAAAGACACGTCGCTTCATTTTCCCTGTCATATTCATATCAAAGTTGAATCAGATCATATCAGGGATGGAAATGACAGCAGCTCTGTGTGGAAGCTGAAGGACCACAGAACAATTTCAACTGCTGCACCACATCATAAGTGTCACATCTTAGTGGGGGCAGAGGGGATTTTTGTGCAAAATGGACAAGAAGCAAAGCGTCTGAAGATATACAAATAAGGCTTACCTGCACATGATTTCATGAGTGAGAAGAACTCTGCACATTTCTGGATTCTTGTCCTGACCTTCATAAACTATAGCCTTAGGAGCAAAATGACATGGACATAAAGTAAACACAGTCATGCCCGAAATATATTAGAAAATGCCAAAATATAAAACGTTTTTTTCCCCACTTATTAAAATTAAATAAATTAAAAAAAGTGACTCAAATAAACACTGGGGAAAAAAAAAATTATCCCACTTAAATAAATGTTATAAATCACTGCCATCAAAAGCAATTATCAATTAAAATTTACTACCACTAATATAAACAACAAATAAAATACTTCAGAGGCGCTAATAAGAATAAAATTAAAGCAACGTAATAAACTTCATAGCGTTGGTAGCTCTACAAATAATAATAGTAAAACTGTGTTTTTCATTAATCTGGATAAGATCCTGTGGCTCGCGCCGAGATTTTCAGAAGGAGAGATCCAATAGAAGTGTCATCAATATGCTTATAATCTGGGGATATTTGGGGGAAAGTGTTAATGGGCAATCTGTTGTTTATTTTGAGCCGCTAACAATGATCTTTCTGTGGATAAAAAGCGGTGTCTGGCGGTACGGTTGAGTAATTTTTGAGCATTGGCTGAAACAGATGGCGTGGAGCTATCAGTTCTGCCGCTCTTCTCCCCCTCCCTCCTTCTTCTCCCCCCCTTTTTTTATTTATTTATTTTTCTCCTCCTAAGGAAAGACACTTAAACCCCTCGGCACTAAAATATAAGCAGTGTATTTTTTTATTATTATTAAAGCAATCCATTTATTTAGAGCAATGTTAAATATTAAATGTGTTTTATGCTGAGCTGCTGTTTGGTTGGGTTAATTATTTTTGGCACGCTTCGAGTTCCAACTAAACCAGGTCGCATCACATT